GGCTAAAATAACTGGATGGCCTACCTGCCTGTCAGCCTTCCATCTGTGCGCAAACTTATCTCGTTCCCTCATTGGTCATGTGCGCGTTCGTGTGTGTTGGAGGAGGGGCTCTGTAAGGAAGTAGCAGATTTCTTCCGGCTGTGTATTTTCAAATTCTAGCGCACTCGAGCTGGTTTCTCCAAAATTACCTACCCCACCTTTAAGCAAATTCATTTCCATTATATTCTGAAATCTTAAACTAGTGAGAACTTTGTTTTGTGTCTGCATTGGTGAGGGTTGGGATATTACTGAATGAACCCAGCATCTGATCTCATTTTTTAAATGGATATTGTAACCCCCTCCTTGCTGGTGCTCTGTCTCACAGACCTGGCCTGTTGTTGGTTAGTGAGCCATCTGCTTGTGAAGTCTCAGATTAGGCTCACTGAGGTATTACACATGGACATAATCTTAGTCTGACACTCTGTTCTCTCAATTGCTTCTTTGTTTTGAGACTGATTGGATTTTAAAGGGACACCAGATTTGAGAGCTGACATCAGTCTGGATGGAGCTCAGCTGAGAGACTCTGTTTATATGACCTGCAGAAGCCGGTGCAGAGTGATTCTCCATAAGATTTCATTTCCTGAAGTTGAAGAACACAAGAGCCACTATGTGCTCTTTTTCCATTACAACGTTTTCCCCCTGCATGCTGGCTCACCACATCACATGTGTGGAGAAACTGGACAGGCTCTTGTAAAATAAAAATAGGTTGTGATGTTTCACTATGATGTCATGCTTTAGATTCAGACACTCCACGGGATTGAAGCACAGGAGCTCCCTCTGTTGGTGTCTTTAGTTCCAGTTCATACACTGGTTATGGTGTCATGAGGGACAGACTCTTGGTATAGCCTGTTATATATCATATGATTTTACTCTCTTCCTTATTTAAAAAAAAATATATATATATACATTTACAGTTACTATCATAGAATGAACATTTTTGGTGTAAAATGTTTAGTTCCAGGTATTTTCATGTTTATACTGCAAAACAATGTTTCTTTCTAGGATAGAAAACTTGTATTTATACACTAAAATAGGGGTTAAAACTCCCACCTAAACCCCCTTAAATCAGCAGTTATTTTATCTTTTCAACCCCAACAGTAGTAAAAGTGTTACTTTATTTATTAAGTGGAAATTATGTTGGTTAATTTATAAATCCTAGTTCAGTCGGTGACATACATGTATGATAAGGCAAAGCATGTGAACAATTAATAGTGTATTGAATTGCTACATAGACCATTTTACTTAACTGCTTTTTTTTGTTGCTTTTTTTGTTGTTGCTTTTTGTCTGACAGACAATCAGTAGATCCTTTAATGCCCAAAATGATATCATAAGATCACAAATCAACATGATATAGAAAGCTCCCAAGAAATGAAGAGATATCATGTTGGTTCTTGGATGATTGTAGAAATGGAGCAACAAAGAGGGTGCCAGGCAATTAAAGGGACAGTAGCATTGGAACGGAAAAAAAAGATAGATGATTGGAGTGCAGATGGAGAGAGTTTTGATGAAGATGGTGCAGCTAATCCATTGAGGCTAATCACACAGCTGCTTTGAGCTAATCACATTTAGTCCCTCCTAAATTCTGTAATCAAATCTTTACAAAGAGCAGATAAGTGCTTGCTTTGCATATCCAACACCTTAATTTTTGGGAAGAATGTATATAGATATATCTATATACATATATATATATATATATATCTATATATATATATAGCAGGTGGTGTTAGGTTTTCTTGTCAGTGTAGCCCAGTTCCACTTCTTCCCCGGGGATGGCGCTGGCTCTCCCTCCAGCACAGTGAAAGCTGTTTCGACAGGCCGAGTTATATTTTAGACACGTCTGGCTGTCTGAAGTGCAGCGTCTCCCTGCCCCGCTCACGCTGCAGAGATCCTGTCTCCAGGCAGTCATCTCCGCCTGTGAGAGGCTGCTACTCACTGCTGCTCTCTTTGTTTCTATTCGCCCCCATACCCTGACTGCTCACCCACTCAGCGCTGCTTTTCCTCTTTCTATTTATTGTCTGCATCCAGAACAGACAAAAGCTGCTGATAAACCACAGGAGATATTCCGAGATTGATTTTATTCAACCTTTTCATTCACTCATTTCATTGTATGATTTGTTTTAAATGAATACCAAATATCAATATCAAGCATTGTGAGAGGAACAAAAAAGGTAGAATAAACACTATTTTTTCTTGCTTTCACCAAAATGATATTCATGAATAATGCTTATGCAGCAGCGACTTGCGTCATTTTCAATGTGCATTTATTTGTTTTCAATATCATATAACACGTCACTGTACCACGTGAGGCAAGCCTCAGTGTGTGTGTGTTAGACTGTGAGCCTCCAACGTGTTTCCTGCCAGCGTGGAACATATGGCGGCGGGAGCAACCTTCTGTTACCATAGCAACACAGTGTTGCAGTCACGTGAAAGATATCCTCTGCAAGGACGGAACGTTGAAATTAGACCCAATTTCCTTATTATATCACTGTATTAAGTTCTATTTACAATCATCCTATGAACAAATTATATATATATATATTTACATTTGAATACCACACATTACAACTAAATCTCCAGAGAGCTGAATTTCTTACAGCTCTTTTGATTCTCTGTAAGTGGGTCCTGTCCTTGGAGCTGTCTGTGTCACTGCCTGTCCGACCATGTGACACTATGGTCCTGGTTTCCAGTGAAGGATCCAGATGGATCTCCAGGCAGACCAGTCTGATCCTGCTGGGACACACTGGGCCCTCACAGAGATTACAGCTCTGGCTCTCTTCTTTACTATGTGCTCTAATGTCTGCATCACACACTACCCAAAGTATTGCTAGTGCTTTTGCTTCATTTGGGTTAGGGTTAGGGTTAGATTATTTCACTTTGTATAGAAAAATGTGATTAACAGGCTTCTCATATCATTTAGACCCTGTTGGAGCTTGTGTAGTCTATATCATTTCACAGCAAATTACATTGGGGCTTAAGTAAACGTGTTACTCCTGCCATAGTGTTGACTTAGATACGCCTCCATCTCTGCTGTGATATGACCCCAGGGAAAGTCGACATATTGACCATGACAGCAAAAGACAATTATTACAAGCCAGCCACCTCAATCAGATAAGTGGGAATTGTATTGCATCGGCAGAATTGATGGCGTGATGGTGTTATAGGCCCCCCATGTCTTTTGTACTACTGGCTTTTATTTGATCCATGTATGCGTGCACATGTTTGACAAATGACCCCCAAAGGATGCTGAATGGCTTCAACAATGCCTTGAGCTAAATCCATATAGATGAGCTAAATCAATATAGTGTGCAGACATAGAGGTGTCATTTAACCGTGGGGGTCCCTGTCTCTTCTACCATCTAGGCTCTTGTATTTGTGAAAGGATCCACAATAAGGACACAGTTTACTCTAGTCATGACATTTTCCTTACCATTTTATATGGACATTATGAAACACTCATTTGAATCATACTGTCAAAGGATGTGTTGGTGAAGCCATCGCCTGCACATGCACACACTAATATAATTTCAGGATTCAGTATTATCAAAAGAAAGGAGGTTTCTTCAGTTTCAGTGTGTCTGTATGAATGACCCATTTGTACACAGCAATTTAAACGCATTAAACATTAAGGGACATGATATTCATTTGGTGAAGTACTGGTAAATGGTAAATGTATGGCTGGTGGGCAATAGGGTGCCGTGTCTTCTCGGTGGATACAGCCAAGTAGTTCAGGAGCAAGACATGTAGAGGGAGGGAGGAAACTGGAGGGAGAGCAAGAGAGAGAGCATGAGAGGAAGAGAGAGAAAGGGGGGAGAGAATATACAGTATGCAGGCAGTGGGCTTCTGCAGCCAGTCTCATTTAGATTGGGAGGCATCATTACCTACTGGTGAGGAGAGGAGAGGAGACAGACTGATAGGGCTGCAATAGACAAAGAGCAGCATGAAAGAAATAAGATTGTAGATTAGAAACAAAGAGATATTAAAATACAGAGGAAACGAGGAAAAAAATAGGGAAGATTGGAACTGGTGGTCTTTTAGTCATCATCTGAGGAAGAGGCGGTGGGCGTCTACCTGTGTGTCAGGCAGCAGCATCGTTGTGCGGAGAGGAGTAGCCGGTCATGGCAGTGAGTACGTGGCAGGCTCTGTCTCCACTGCAGTGGGCTCGCTGGGGCTGGGACACACTGCTGGGTGGGGCATCAGACGGTGACAGCCCGGGCTCTGATCCCGGTCTGGGGCTCCTACGGAGTTTCTCCTGGAGCTCACAACATGACCGCAGGATCAGGGATGCTTTGGAGCCGATCAGACAGAGGTGAGACAGGCTGCAGGCTGAGGCGACATATTGCCAGGTTATACATTGATCAGTGGAGCACCGACCTACGTAGTCCGGTTTTCTGGAGGGCTTTGCTTTGTGTGTATGTGTAATGCTGAGAATAATCAATACAGAATAACGGTGTGATTTCTTTTACAGCCTATCTTGCAGAAAATAGTAATTGCTCTGTTTTCCACTCGGTTTTCCCCTCAGTCCCCCTCCCTACTCTGTGTAACCTTTAGGTGGACTTGTATGGGTGTTGCATGAGTGTGTTGAGGTGGAGTTATTCAGTGTCTCAGTTGTGTCATTATCTGTCATCTCACTGCAGATTCAGTGTTTTCATTTGTAGACATTACAGTTTACAAAAAAAGAAAACACTAACACATACCAGCACAGGGATTATTTTCTTCACATACATGTAATTGCACCTGCCTCCAACCTGATACCGACAACAACAAAATGGATCACTTATTTAAATCATATATTGCACTCAATAATAATATTCACACTGCTTTCTTGGGAAATAAAAGTATCCTTCGTGATGTCCTGTTTCTGAAGGAGAGAAGTTATGATCACCCTCGCATGGCGTCACTGACTCTGAGTCATTACAGTTCAAGTGATATCAGTCTGATGTATACTCATCTTCTATTATAGGAGTTCAGACTCTGATGGGGCGTTTGAGACCCCTGAAGCCACAACTCCAGTGAAGACTGTTCATCCTATAGATCCCCAAACCCAGCAAACATCCAATGAAAAAGGTAGAGTAAGAAAATGTTGCCATGATGTGTGCAAAGCTCTTCTACAGTATGATGCTCTGGTACACCGCCATAAATATGCAGGTGTAAGACAGGCTGTGTGCACCATCTAGTGGAATAAAGCAGTATTCATTGGATGTGTTAAAAAAAAGTCAGCTACAGCTTTTGTCTACACGAAGGCTTCCTGTTTCAAGTCTCAATCTAACACATAAGCAAGTTCAAACTTATCATTATACCAGTTTCACTCAATTTGGATGTTATGCTTTATAGCAGCTAAAAGCTCTTTACGTTACGTCTCTCCATCTTTTGCAGTAGCAGACTCCTCAGTCAGTGATCCTGCCTCTGAGTTGCCCTCAGCTGATGCAACATGCCATTCCCCGTGTACTGTATTTGATGAGGACCGGCCCATTGCAGCCAGTGGCCAATACAACATTGAGGTTTCTGCTCTTACCCGTTCACTCAGCCTCCAAGGAGGAGAACTAGACAGTGCTGGTCTGTCGGACGGATCATCGGTGGAAGGCTTCCGTCTACATTCTGAATCCTTTAGCGTAGGTACAGAGAGCGCACCAGGGACGCTCCGCAGGCCCAAGAAAGTCCGTTCTGGGTCTTTGAAGAAGAAGCCTCTTCTCAGGCAGAACTCCAACCCAGAGAGTCCGAGGCCAGCCTCATCCAGCAGCACCACGGAGATCAAGAACCGGGCAACACCTCGTACTGCCAGCCCTCTCCAGCCTCAGGAGGAAGCCGAGGGAGGGTCTGCAACCCCGAGCCCCGGAGGAACCCTCCGCAGAACCAGGAAGAACCGTGTGGAGACTCCACCTCCCCTGCCGGAGGAGACCAATCATACGAGCCAAGAGGAGAGCCTTATTATCCCTGCCTTACCTTTGTGCCAGGAGGAGATCCCTCTCCCGGGCAGTCCAGCAGGTAGAGACGAATCCCCCATCCCCCCTACTACCTCCTACAAATGGGATCCAGATAATTTTGAGAGCATTGACCCATTCAATACTGGAGGAAGTAAAGTTGCCAATTCCCCCGTTCTTGGTCGTAAAGGTCCTGTGTGTGCTCCTATAGCCCCCCCTCCAGAGAGTCCCTCTGTATCTGCTGTGGAGCCGTGTCCACCAGCTCCTCTTGAAAAGTCGATCACAAACCCTGAAGAGCAACCCATCGTCCCCAACCGTCAGTCAGTAAGGCTGGAGTTTGACTACTCTGAGGAGGGCTGTGAGGCGACCCCTCCCCCGCCTAAGAAATTGGGCAAGAAGCCTGGTGGGAAGATGCCTCTGAGGAAACCAAGGCTGGGGCTGAAGAAAGCCCCTCCGGTTAAGACGGAGCAGCTGGACAACGATCTTACAGCAACACACAATGGCAACGAGGAGGATATCCCTGTTCCTGCAGTCTCTTACAAGTTTGACTCTGACAAGTGGGAAGATCCCAACTTCAACCCATTTACTACTAAGAAAGGCATCCCCAACTCACCCAAACTATCAAGACCCTCCTTTGACTCCAATAACTTTGATGACTCTGCAGACCCTTTCAAATCGTCCAATAAGATGGCCGACTCCCCTCCTACGGCCTCCGCCTCCTTTGAACTGTCATCCAATGACTTTGACAATGAAATTGACAATGACAACATTGGGGAACTGGAGGACCAAAATCTAAACAAACCTGCCAAGAAGAAGAAAACTCCTATCAAATCGTAAGTTAACAGTTTATTACACAAGGGCCGTACATGGGAGAGTCCACACGAAATTGCAGAACAATGTATGTGTGGGAACGTCTGCTTCTCTGTAGGTGAGGTTAGTCTGTGTTTGTACGTGGTTCTCTTGTCTATTATGTCTCTGTCTGCCTCTCTGTCACCTTTGTCTGTGTATTCTCATATGTCACAGGAAGTCCAGGGGTGTGTCTTCTCTATGTTGTTTGTTGTAAGTACAGGGACAACACAACCATCCATCCCTTTTTGACCCTCAATTCCATGTGACTTATTTAAAAGCAGCATGTTGCCCTGATGTTCCTCTTCATATTAACAGAGACATCATAATCCCTTGAGCCCATGATCAAACAATTCATTTAAACAGTTTTAATCCTGCCCATTTTTTTTAACTGTGGGACACATGTATGGTAAAAACATCATTGTATAATTAGTACACACACACACACACACACACACACACACGCACACACGCACACGCACACGCACACGCACACGCACACGCACACACACACACACACACACACAATACCATTTACAGTTAACAAAAGTCCAATGTTGTATTACCATGGGTGTGGTCAGCAGTGTTAAAGGCTTAAAATGCTTCTTCCAATAGAGGTCACTGCAACAGATTGCAATAATATGCATAACTTAAAAACACATGGAGATATGCCTTTACGTTTTTTTTCTGCCTTCATCGGTCGGTTGTCAAAACATTTACACGGAATTCATGTTTTCTTTCAGAACGTACTCCAAAGTGTAAATATTGGAACAAATTCAGTTTAATGGAAAACATGTTATTATTATCTTTTTCTACTGAAGCCGACAAAATACCTTGTATCTCTTTTTTATAGATCAGTGTTTACTGATATGCCACTGTGTCACATCCACAAGTATGTATCAGGAAGGGCTTGTGCTCCCTCTTGTGTTCATTGTCGGCTATTGTTGAGAAAAGCTTTACAATATAATAATGATAATACTTTAATAGATATATATCAAATCAAATCAAATCAAGTTTTATTTATATAGCACATTTATAAACGATTTTTTGTCGAGCCAAAGTGCTGTACATAAAATAAAAATAGCCTACAGTAGAGACACTATACAGCAAATACAACAGCACAGATTGTTCAGAATATCAGTATGAGAAAAACGACACCCTCTATCCTTAGACCCTCACATCGTACAAGGAAAAACTTCCAGAGAAAATCCCACAGTTTAAGGGGGAAAAATGGGAGAAACCTCAGGGAGAGCAACAGAGGAGGGATCCCTCTCCCAGGACGGACAGACGTGCAATAGATGCCGTGTGTAAATCGAAGAGATAATACATTTTACAGCATATAGACCGAATGTTAGGAAATGCATGTGTCTGTAATAAGAAGATGAATCCACGAGGATGTCAGCTACAATCCTGTGGAAGCCATCAGGGAAGCAGCATGACGAGACCCAAGGCAGGACCGCAGAGACAGGTTCAGCCACGACCCGAAGTGCACGACTTAATCCAGAACTCAGGATAGAGTATCCAAGACACAGGACTACAGCAAGAGGATCAGCCTCGACTCCGGTTCCCGGCGTATAGATACAAAACAAGAAAAAAGATTTAAAAAAGATATAACGTTTTTTAGGGTTATTGTCCCATTTATATTCAATCCTTATGAGTTCAGTTAGGAATGATATCCTTGATACAATGGGTAAACGTTTTTTTACTAGTGACACAGTGCTGCCCAGATATTCCAGATGTCTCTTAGAGTCGTTGATGATAAACAGGATAATGAATCATGATGGTTGTGGTTAATTGCAATCGAATAACTTTTTTACAAATCCTCTGAGAATCCATGTTTCACAGGATCTGTAAATTGAAAACTGAGGTAACAGAAAAAGTAAGAACCTTCAACTATCCACATCTACAGTAATCATCGCTAATTTGTGTGACAAGTAAACTCTTCATAACATAATATTCATTTCTCAATACTTCTGTGCACTAAATATAGATTCATCCCTTGTCACAATATGGCACTGTTCTGTTCATTTCAGCCACACACAGTAAGTGGTACTATTTCACATGATGGTAATGCTGCTCTATGGAAATATCCTGTCATTCATGCAAAAGCAGAACCAGTTTGTCATATTAGGATTTGCAATTATAAACATTTTACAATACTTGGTGTTAGACAGTGACTGTTGGATCTGATTAAAAGTTGTGTACTGAAGGCCCGGAGGGACTCTGGATCTTGATGATTGAACTTTTTTTTCTCAGTAACACTTTCAGAGTGAAGAGGTCGCCAAAGAAATCCTCATCTGAGCCATCCGAGGTGTGTACCTGATTCTTTATCTCTTTATGTACACTTGGCTCTCTCACTGTCTGGCTAAATGTTTTCCTTCTCCCATCTCACTGCTACCTCCTCTGTGTTGCAGGATCCTACACCAGATGAAACTCCCTCCCTCCACCCACAGGACGACCACGCCACAGATGAGGAGAAGCTGGCTTCCTCCACTAGTCATAAGTGGGCAGCCCTACACAACGTGGATGCAGATTTGAATTCTGAGCAGCAAGACTTCCCTCAGCCGAGCGACCTTTCGTCCTTTGTTAACGAGAACAGTCTTCCTGATCAGACTCCAGGTGAGGCTTAGCTGTCTGACTCTTTCGGATCTCTTTTTGTATCTCCAGCCACCTGCGTCCTGATAAATACTGACATAGATCAAAGCAGACTGCAGATAGGTGGTGTTCAAAATATATTAAAAGCTAAAACCATCATTTACAGTACAGCCACCTGCCAATTTCCTCTACATTAATTTAGCTACATTATTGATTTTTGTTCTGGCAGTGAAATAATATGGCCGAGTTCTCTACTGCCCTCTGTCCTCCAAAAGAGCCACCTCTTCCCTAAGGCTCTGTGGCGCAACCAATCTAGGTCAGAGAGGATATAATGAACAAACAGCCCTGCCTCAGCTTCTAAACCCATCAGTCCAGAGCTCAACACTGGCTAGATATGTCTCTCCATTTATTCCTCTGACTCTAAAACTTATTTTTGTCTTTCTGCATCAGTGCAAGACTATGAGATTGAGTATATGGAGAAGCTTGGCTCCGCTTCCCCCGTGAGTATTCTGTGTTATTTAAATAATTGTATGAAATATTTGCTGCTTTCTTTCTTTATACTTGTACTTTCTTTCTAAGTTGTAAAATGTGGACCTATATTTAAAAAAGTGTCTGCTTTATTTGCTTGTGTTTCATGTAGCCACTGTCTGTGAAGAAGCCGTCTTTGTACCTGAAGTTAGACTCCATTTCTGACAACTTACCCAAGAATAAGTGCGCAAATGGATCTGAACCCAGCTCCCCCTGCACTGGGTAAACACAACCTACTCATGTTTTATTTTTGTGTTGTAATTTGGCGGAAATGTCTACATTATATGTTCACTTTATAATGTAGGAAGTCTGACAGTGCAATGTTCAGTGCTTCACTTGTACAGTAGACTATGCATTGGGCTAACTAGAAACCAGAATGATTAAGATTGCATAATGCATACAGCTGCTTCAGCTCCGTTTTTCATTAACACTCTCATCCTTCATATACAGTAAATCACATGCCATGTCTCTCCCCTCTGGTTCTCCCTGTGAGCAGCAGTTTTGAGGAGATGGAGGCCCAGATAACAGCGGGTATGAAGACACCGGTGCTGAGCTCCCGGTCTGGTCCAGATGGCTCTGCTGGGGAAAAGGGCAGAAAGAGAGAGAACAAGGCGCTCAGCCGAACACAGAGCACAGAGAGGGATGAGCAGGTGAGCCGATCACTATTGTAAATATTCAAAACTCAGCGATCAGTTATCACACATGTTGTCATTTCTATGTCTTGTCCTCATCATGTTGGGACAGTTATGATTTTGTCACATTTATACCATGTCAATGTTTAGTCACATGGGGCAGATTGCAATAGGCTGTATTTCAGGCCTTGAATTAGCCCTCCAACATCAGTCATAGTGATTCTCATTAAAGCCCTGTCACTGTTAATAACACATAGCCAGTCCCCTACTGTAGCTTCCCAGCTTAAACTCAGTGACTCAGCTCCCAATGCTGCCACTCAAAAACTCAGCGCTTTGCTTTGCCATGCTGACCCCTACCCTCCTCCCCCACTCCTCCCGGTGCCCCTGTAGCCCCTTAGCCTGGGCCCTGTGGAGGCCCCTGCTCCTGTCCTGCCCATGCCCCTGTTAGACAGGCTGTCTGAGTGTGACGACCTCCTGCAGTACCTGGAGCCCAACCTGGCTGAGACCAACCCGACAGCATTCGCTCAAAAACTACAGGTGTGTTGACAGACCACTGATGACCCCTCTTTATGCCTCTGGTGGGCCCCCTCCACCCTGATTGTGTGTTTTTTTCACGTTACTCCCATTGTTTCACTTCACTACATCCAGCATTTTCATTTTCCCATAGATTGATGGTGTGTGAAATGTAGACGGCAAGTGTGTGCGCTCAACTCAAGTGTCTGTATGTTTTCCCTTTGCTCTCTCATCCTGGGGCCGCAACTCCCCTCCCTTACCCCCCAAAAAAATACCAATACCCCTCCCCCCACCCCCCATGTCTGCGGCCCAGGAGGAACTGGTGCTTGCTGCCCTGAGGATAGAGGCTCTGCAGATAGCCAAAAACATCTCACAGTGCCCCTCCCTCTCCACTGTAAACCCCCAGGTACTGCGCTGAGTGCTGCACCTGATGTATGCAAAGGGTGTGTGTGTGTGTGTGTGTGTGTGTGTGGTGTGTGTGTGTGTGTGTGTGTGTGTGTGTGTGTGTGTGTGTGTGTGTGTGGTGTGTGTGTGTGTTGTGTGTGTGTGTGTGTGTGTGTGTGTGTGTGTGTGTGTGTGTGTGTGTGTGTGTGTGTGTGTGTGTGTGTGTGTGTGTGTGTGTGTGTGTGTGTGTGTGTGTGTGTGTGTGTGTGTGTGTGTGTGTGTGTGTGTGTGTGTGTGGTGTGTGTGTGTGAGTGTAAAAGGAAAGAGCATCCTGAATGAGTTATTACGTACATGCAGGTGTGTGTGAGATGCACGTGTGCCTGGCTGTAGTGTGCGTGCATGAGTGTGTCTCAGCCTGCCTTTTCCCCTCCCCTTAAACACACCATTCTGAGTGTGAGTGTGATCCCATGGCCTTATCAACATTGTGGCTGCACAGCTACATATGCAGTCCTCCTCAATCCCCACATATGGAATCTCTAACATGGCTTTAAGCATCCAGCTCCCCCCCCCCCGACTAGCAGCGAGCTCCTCAGCTGTCTCCTGTTAGGCAACTTGCATGTTGCCTGTTTTTAAAAGCCTTACAATGGCATGAATGTGACTGGGATTGTCTCCTGATGGACTTTATATCAGCAGCCGAGGAATTGTAGGGATGTAACTGTCCCAGATGTGTTTGTTGATGCTTTGCTATCATCCGCCTAAATCCCAGTCACATTCTTGTATATTGAATTGGTCCTTTTTCCGGACTAACAGCACTTACAAACAGGTAGGTAGGTGTGAGTAGTTAGGGTAGAGTGTGATAATTGTGTTGGTTGGAGGGTTTATGCTGAAACAGCACATGCCTGGATATACGAATAGGGATTATTTTTTGCTTAGCTGATTTATGAACATTAAAAGAAAGTCAGTGTAAGAGCTGGAAGGAAGACGCTTCCTTCTCCACTTTGTCTCATGCTGTGTCCCACACATTTCACAGTCTAGACTAAAGAAACCCAGCACTCGGCGATGGAATATCAACGGTTCACCCTTACTTAAAGTAAGAGTATCATTATACCCCTTGATCCGCCCCCGTCCTATAATCCAACTACAGTGCAGTCCAAGTATTTGGTCATTTCATTGTTTTTGGCTCACTGCACAAGCACAATGGATTTGAAATAACTACGAGGTTACAGTGCTCAGGGGGAATGAAGTCGAACACGTCTACATTAGCTAAGAGTGTAGGAATCACAACACTTCAAAACTTAGTCGTCTACTTCCAATTTTAGACTGCTCAGAAAATAATAGGGCTTCATTTCCCACACTGCTCAAATACATATAGACTGCACTGTAAACTAACTCCTGTAGACCGCAAGTCAAAAAGTCTTAGACCTTTTATAAATTACTTTTTAGATTCCCTTAGTTGTACTTTGTACCTGTGAGCAAATGAGTCCAAGTTGTGTTATCTGTAGTTTTTAGTATCTCTTTTAGTCTTGAATAAATACATTTGCTGCTGGGTTGTTTTTGTGTTTGACTCGTCTATCTAGCCTATCCTTTTTTGTTCACATCAACTATTTTTTTTTCAAGTTGAAAGTTTACGTTTTTTGCCTATACAACACTGAAGTCCAATTACACATGGCGCCCAAAAGTGGGTAAAAAGTTACTGATCCAGGCAAGCCAAACAATTCTATTCGCTTTTCTGCATATTAGTGGATCTCCTTGTACCCTGTAAGCCCCCATAATTTTATCAAATCCTCCAAAAACCAGACTCTCTCAGAATAAACTTACAGTTTTTAGGGGACCAAAAGTGTTGGTGAGTTGTTGTCATTAGGTTGCAATGGTTACACAAACAGATGCATAAGATTTCGTTTTTAATTGTCTCTCAGTACACCTCAACATTTTATCCAAAGTCTTTCTGAAGATCAATCCTCTGGAATTTCTTGTTCCCTTCACATCATAGTCTTTGTATTTTTAAATAGTTGGCTAAATGCTGTAACAGGTTACACTTTGATTTCAGCCACAACAGGTAAGACCACAATGTTGTAATATGTTTTAACGGGAGAATAACATCTATTACCCATGCTGCCCAGTCCCCTTGCCCTATCCTCCCTCCCTCTGCTGTATCTGATGCAGTCCTTGCTGTATCAAATGCTGCCCTCCTTCCTGTGTGCCTTGCCTGGACCCAATCACATTCAAGCTTCTGCGATGAGCAGGTGATCATGACTGCTCAGCTGGGGGCAGCATCAGCCAAATCACTTGGCTAATACTGTAGAAATTAAGACTGTTTCATCCAATCATGTGGCAGCTGACCAAGTCTTCAGGAACATCACTAGTCTCCCTCATTTACATATTGTTTTTGCTGTGTGGTACATTTTGTTGTAGTTTGATGCTGCCTCGAAGATATTGTTCAGGAATGCGAGTGGGCCCAAGGGAGTACCATCTGTAGCTTAGTCTGGTTTATAACTGGTTATGTTTCCTTTCCTCTCCCGCATCTCCTTTGCTTCCTGGAAGCAGCACAGAGACATCTCGTCTGCGGTAGATAGCGGTGTGTCCAAGGACTCGCTGTACACCAGGACCAGCACCAACTACATCGAGGGGGAGAGTCCCCACCTCCCCAAAGAACTGGACCACTCGCTGGGAATTGCACGAGAAGAGGTGCCACATTTTTTTATTTTTGTCCTATGAGTAATACTGTATATATTTTGATTCTACTTCGCACACTTTACTTGACACTTTTGTTACTACCTCAGATTGTGACAAAGGAGAAAGAAGTGCTGGAATGGCAGAGAAAGTATGAAGACAGCCGACAGGAAGTGATGGAGATGAGGTAAGAAGTAGTATGTTGGGTTGTCATCCTTTACAACACAGTGAGGTCCCACACATACACTACACAATGTAGATTTAACACCTCCCCGTGTTTATGCTGGTACCGCGTCACCATGCTTAGTGTCTTCTACATAGACTCCACCCATCACTATTTAACCTTGTCAATTGGTTTATCTCGCTTTAAGTGTAAAACACAACCATGGTTAACTGCAGAGTGGAGAGCCATCTGAGTCCTGCTATTAGCACGAGAGTTAATGGTGGAGAAAAGAGGAACCAATGATGTTTGTATATGATATTTGGCAACTTTTCATGACAAGATGTGTTAGTGGCTTTTGGTGTCCCTTTGGATTATACACCACCAACAGTCTGAGAACATCTTAAAACTTGGATCAACAAACTAACTCATATTAACGTCCAGAGAGGATTAATCTACAGTATGTCTGACAATGTGGGTTCAAGGAAATACCATACTAAGACCTTGTTCCCTGCCAGCAGGTGGTGGGTGTGGGTCCAGCTGGCTATTGCTCAGTTAGTGTTGAGCTTACTTCATTTGACTGATTAGGTTGGGGATAAGGATGGGCTAAGATGCTAAGGGAGAGGCGTGGCTAATCAATCCTCTTACCCTTTATCAACCTGCTTTTCCCAAAACATGACTTCCCATTGGGCCATGCTGCTACTGGGCTTGAAGTGTGGGGGAGCCTACATCTGCAATGCTTAGATGAAAACTGTATACACAGTGCAGATAAATAAAAGATACAGAGCTACTGATAGTTTTAGGTAATCAGATAATCTAAAGTTGTAGCCTGGATGACAGTTTTGTTTGTTTTCCTAAATTCTAAGAAGATATCTCTAAATAGCACATGTTTTACTTAAAGTGGGAACAGATAACTTTTCTACTTTTCATCACTAGCATTACCATATGATATTATTGTTGGTGCCGTAAAAACAGGGCACACTGTAGTTGTTGATTTTCTGAAATAGCCTAACAAAGCAAGAAAGAACTGTAAAACACCCATTAGTTGTTATAAGTAGGATTGTAGTAGACATTAAAAAGCAGTTTATTACTCAAAAAAACGAATCTACCCCCTCCTCCTCTCCCCGAAATGCTCTCTGGTAGGCAATGATGCAGTGTATATGTCTAGGGCTTTTATTGTGAAAGGGAGTTCAAAAATGTCTAGCAGACCAAATTGCATTCTAAAGAGCAGCTTAGAGGGAATCAATCTGAATGCAGATGGTGTCATATTCTACAGCATAAATGCCACTTTGTCTTTTCCATATAAAAAATTCCCAGCATATTAAGGCAATATCACAACCAGGTTCGATCATGTGGTTTTTCTTGCACGAACAGGCCGACAGACTGACATTTAAAAACATCTATACCCTGAGAAAATATGAGATACAGATTCAACCCCATCAATATATTGATGATCTGACGTTTTTTCATCCATAGGAGGATTGTTGCTGAGTATGAAAGGACGATTGCACAGATGATAGGTGAGTTCAATTTTCTATACAGATTTTGGGTTGCTTATAAAACCAGAGGATTGGTTTCAGGATATTGAACCCTTTGTCTCTCCATACTCTGCCCCTACTTTTTGCTGCCTTTGTTGTTGTTTTTTGCAATATACAAAATGTGTGCTCTACACTACATTGCAAATTATTCCAGAGAGATGTATTTTTTATAATCTGACACAAGCTATGTGCTTGCTTTTATGTTAGATTGATATAAAGTGAACCCTGATGTCATTAGAGTGGGAGGTATTCACCTTTTGCCCACACATGTCCAACTTTATTGGACTCATTAAATCTCGCAGCAGGTTCACTTTCCACATTATTCCTGCTCTCACCTACATCTTCTTCGCCACCTGAAGATTTAATTTCCGCTGCTGTCTAATTTAATTTTCTTCTATCATTAAAGCACTTCTCACAAAAGCCTCAATCTGTCGCCGCTCTTGTCTAACACTCGGCTCTCTCACGTGTCTTGCCCTCCCAGCTTGACTTAACACAGTCCCTTTTTTCTGTTCTGCTCTCATCTTTGCTTCCCTTTCTATTTGATAACCCTGACAGGCATGCCAGGTGAGTAATGCGGAATTGTCCTTCACTTGTTTGTGTCAGCTCACATCTCGCCACCCGTCCGTCAGAAAAGGGAGCAGATGTGCTCACTTTCTTCATCTCGTCCAGTGACATTTGTTTGTCCATTTTTGTTGCATTTCATCCTGTATATTGAGACTCTGTTTTTATTTTACTTTAGGAATAATCATATGATATTTACTTCATCCATTCCCTCAGTGGTTGATATTAAGTACATCATTACTTTGTTTTTTATATTATATGGCTGCAAAAGTCATTCTTCTCACGCTTGCGACAGGAAATGAAAGGGAAAGCTGGGTAGGTGGCTGAAATATTGTGTAAGGTTCATCATTTAATATTTAAGGGTATAGAAACAAGCTGCAAGGGTCAAGCTGCTAGCTCTGATAATATTGTTTACAGGTCTCTTTGTTTTTCCCATTGTTAACTGTTTTTGTTTGCATGCCACATATAGTGTAGTATTATATGCTATTAAATCATACTAACCCACACATTCATTTCGATATTCTGTCAAAAACAAAGTGTCTGTTTGTAAGTATTTGTGGGTATAACAAGTAACATGTAATGTACATGTGACCAGTACAGCTGGCTCTTCAGACAGATGATCTGATCTACAGTATGTTTGTGTGTGTCTGTCAGAGGATGACCAGAAAGAGAAGTCTCTGTCCCACCACACCATCCAGCAGCTGATCATGGAGAAGGACCAGGCCTTGTCCGACCTCAACTCTGTGGAAAAGTCTCTTGCCGACCTCTTCAGACGTTACGAGAAAATGAAAGATGTACTGGAGGGCTTCCGCAAGGTGACACAAATGATTCACAACTAAAGAGAATTATTAGGATCTGGCTTTGTAAGACATTTAGATTAACAGTACATTTGGTCAGTATTTAAAAAATGTTGTCACTCTTTTCAGAATGAGGAGGTTCTCAAGAAATGTGCTCAGGAGTATCTGTGCAGGGTCCGCAAGGAGGAGCAGCGCTATCAAGCCCTGAAGATTCATGCAGAGGAGAAACTAGACAGGTGAGTCCTAATATCTACAGTTGAATCCACCATGACCATGTTGTTTCCCCCAAAGAGAAAGCATCACAACACATTAAATACATACACTTAATCAATGACAAGAAGTAATATGTTTGGATATATGCCAATTTAATTAGCTGTTGCTATAGAATATATATAAGCCATTTCCATTTTGAAAGATTTATTCTGCATTGGCTTTACAAACACGAGGTTGCAGTCTCATAGGACCTGAAGCTTTCTCATAGTTAACTGAATAATTAATGTCGTTCTTGAAGATTTGACAATGTGACACCTTTCCCTACTTTCAAGTCTACTTCCAGTGATCAGCACCTCATCACAACCTTTAGTGTGAGTTATTTCTCTCGCATTCACTGTCCTTGTATTACTTGTGTGGTTCCAGGGCGAATTCTGACATAGCTCATGTACGTGCCAAGGCCATGCAGGAGCAGGCTGCCCATCAGGCCAGTCTGAGGAAGGAGCAGATGAAGGTGGACTCCCTGGAGCGCACCTTGGAGCAAAAGGTCAGTCAGAACTTCTCAATCCTGGGGCTTGAAGGGATGATAAAACCATGGGAAAATATTCATTAAAACAAGTATGTTAATGTTATTTTGACAATTGTTTTACAGAACAAAGAGATCGAGGAGTTAACAAAGATCTGCGACGAGCTGATCTCCAAGATGGGGAGGAGTTAGCGACCACATTGCCAAATCCCACAGAGAAGAAGACCAGTTGTGGGAAATAAACGACCTGGAAAATGAAGCTGATCCGTTGTTTTTACAACTCTTACCAAGGACTGATGGACATTAAGGCTAAAACGGCCAAAAGGGTTCAGTTCCTTCCTACTGATGTTGTGTATCCACGATCCACAGGAATGGCGTTCTCCTTTTAACTCTGTACATTTTGATGTGTCGGTGTATCGTTCTGTATCATGGGTCTGGTTTCAAGAATATGTAACATATCACTTATGAGCGTGTCTGTGCGTGTGAGTGCGTGTATGATAATGAGAAAGCAAGATCATTGTTTGTGATTTAAATTATCTATAATGATGTTGCCATGACAGCCACTGAGGGAGAAGACTGTTTACCCATTCCTGTTGTTTTCTCCTCTTGATAAGAGAGAAAGATAGACTTTGAAAAACAGATTTAGATTCATTTATAAAATGTTGATACACCACCAAGAGAACACAAACTATCCCAATAGCTTACTGCATGTGGGAGAGAACCTGTATTGTTATGTTTGTATATATTGTAGGAAATTCCAAATATAAAAAAAGATTCTTCTGCATTTTTGATAGTTATTCTGTCATCCTCGGCCCACTCTCCTCATGTCACCTTGTAGATATTTGTCATACTTGTAATAGCTTCCTTGACTATTTTTTGGGATTTTATTTTGATATAAAGCAAACTAATCGTGACCTTATTAAGTTGTGAGCAGGAGTCATTTAATTTTTTTATGGATATGTCCTAGTTCTGCTACGGCCGTTTTGTCACACTGAGGAGTAACTTCTGCACAGTTGCTGTACAGCATCTGCTTACAAAGTGCAATAAAAGATGGCAATACAGCACCCTGGGTCCACTGATGACATGTTTTCTATTAAATGTTGTTGACCTGGCATGACAAATGAAGAAATTCTGATTTGGTACAATACACCTATTTATCCACATATTGGTGTTTATGAGGAAAATGAATATAGAATTACTATCATTCTAGTTTTCTTCCAAAGTTGCTATGATTGAGTTAAATGAGGTTAAAAAAGATACCTGAAACTAATGGGTGAATGATTCCCCATGATTCTGATTAGCTCCAGAAATGTATTTGGGTTTTTCCTTGGCCCTTACTAGACCCTTTCAACAAGTTTCATGAAATAGGATCCAATATATCTTCTGGAAACCTTCTGTCCAACAGCTAAACAAAAAACAAACCAAAACAAAGTTACAACTTAATTGGCGGAGGTGGAAATTAAGCATCTTTCTCTCAAAGTTGCAGTAGTTGAATGAAAAAACCCACAGAGCAAGCCAGAAAATCAACGACTTCATAATCACACTTGAGTGAAAATAATAAAATATAAATAATAAATATGTTTATAAGCATTCAGTCAAAAAAATATTAAGAACATATTTTTGACAAGTAATTGACTTCATTTGACAAGGATTATGCATTGTTCAATAAAGTAACACTTTTATTATAGCAATATTTTTGACACAGATGTCTAACCTGAATTGATTCACTGCAATTGGAACTGTAATATCAAATATCTTAACCATCTCTATAGAATTATAGAATCTACATAAGCAGTTGTTGAAAAAATCTCACACAGGCAGACGTACCTCTCAGGGCAACCAATGGCAAATGAACCTGGGAAACTAAATGGCCACCTGTAGGGCCAAGTCAAAGTTCACAGATCAGGTAGTGCAGCAGGGACTGGAGCAGGTGAGACAGGGACAAGAAAGGGCTGATCTTCACTCAGGAGGTGTGGCTAGAGAACAGCAGTGAGGTGAGAGGTACAGGATGAAGGAAGAAGCAACGATTGACCACAGAGCTGTGGGTCCCAGCGGAGAGTCTGATAATCTCAGTCAGTGCAGGAGGGGATATTAGCTCATCTGATAGCTCAGATTTAGCTCCGGGGTCTTTAGGAACAAACAATCTGCTTTGCATTGTGAGATCAGAACCACGAGGACCGCCAACGCCATGAGAGCTGTCCACTTCTGTCCATTGCTCCTGCTTCCTCTGGTCCTGCTAGCAACCTACAGTAAGGATTTTAGTTTTTTTTTTATAGTTTTTGATATATACCCAGTCCTGTTCCCCTTTAGATCTCCCCTCTATTTTTTGTCTATCAGTCAGTTTGACTGCAGAACCTGGAGGTATCTCCCTCCAGGTATCCTTCTCCCTGGCCACTCTTGAATTTCCAAGAACAGTTTGCATTTGTTGTTTTTCTGTATTTCAGTGTTTTCTGAGAGACAGGAAAATAACTTACCAAGTTATTCTCAGACATGTCAGGAAATGTTGAACATAACAACATTTCAGTTTTTCAGAAAATGCCTTGTATGTGTTAAAGGACTTATACCTTCTAATGACACTTTTAATCCTGTCAACTTTGCTAAGTTGCTGTTATAATTACTTAGTTAGTTAATTCGTTTTTCCTTCCTTCAGTTTGTAATCTTCCTCTGTAACTAGCATGCAATCCTAACAGTTAATCTTTTAATAGGCCTGAAGACTAATGCTTGTAGCATGTGTGTAGAGTGGCTGTGCTGCGGGGATAGATTGGGGTCAACTATGAACAGCGGGGGGGTTTATTTGTCTTGTCAACAGGCACACACGAAGCAAAGCAATGAAACAAGTGTCTCAAATCCATATAATACAATTGTGCTTTTATCAGTTGAAGGGCTTCACAAATGAATAATTTAATTATTAGTCTCATGAAGTTGATTTGCTGATTTTAAGAGAAGATTTCACCTTTCTGGTCTAAAGCCTATCATGAAGAGACATAACACGTGTGGGGCTGAACGACTTCCTGTCCTTCTAGACATTATAATTGGCTGATAAAAGACAGTTTCAGGGATAAAGGATATGATTCTGATGGCCAAGACAATATGTTTAGGGTCCAGCTCGATTTGGTCCTCTTAGGAAGAAACATGAAAGGCTGTTTCTGAAGGGACATTTAAGAATTTAGAATGATGTAGGTTTTCAAAAGAAAGCTTTATAGTGATATTTTAAAGGTCAGTTCACTCTAGAGCTTTAAACATACATTTTAGAGTTTTAAAGTGGGCCTCTGAAGCTTTAGCTAAAGGTTAGAAAGATTTATTTTTAAATCCGAGTACACTTGTTTCATTCTTTGCTTGATTTAATGAAGACTTGTGTGAAGGAAGTGACTCATTGGGGCTCTCTCCTCACTTCTATCTCAATGTGGGACAAAGTCATGCATCCGAGTCACTGCGATGTGAGGTGTCTGTTTGCACACTCATCCAACACACTGTTCCTGCTGTGTTGATAAAGGGTAAAACACATTCAGTTAAGTCCCTGGTAAGCATTGAATGATCTTCACGAAAAGACTACAATTCATGATTAATGGAAATTATTTAGTTTGAGTTTGCCACAATGTAACTCAGTGAAATTACTCTTTTGGAAATTAAATTGCTGTCTGATGAGTTACCATGTTTAATGCTATCAACCCAGACCAAGATAAACTATGCTTTAGAGATCACTTAACTATTTTCTTTCAACACGCCATGAAGTTTTCATCGTCCTGCTTGAGTGTGTGCTGTAACAGTATTTATTTTCTGCTTCCTTCAGGTGAGGCTCTGCAATGTTATAGCTGTATGGGCTCCAATAACGACGACTGCAACCGGCAAGGCTCCAAAACGTGTCCCAGCTACTCTGATGCCTGCGCTGTGGTGGTGGGCCATGAAAGTGAGTCCAACAGTGACAGATAGTAACCTTTCTTTTACAAGCTCTTTTTCCCACCCATATTAGAGATACAAAAAGCTGTTTTTGTATAGGTGAGGTTGTGTGTTTAAGTGAGGACAGGCTGCTGTCTGAAGGCACATCCCAGCAGGTGGTCCAAGGCGTTTAAGGAAATGAAGAGCTTTGCTGCACCTACCTGATCAATATCCTTAATTAGGACTCCATGTGTGCAAGGCAATAAAACAATTTTCTTTCACAAACTCAATTCTGTTTTTAAATGTTTTAATCATAAGAAAGGGGCAATAGGAGATGTCCTTAAATGACAGATATTAGATACTCGTTTCCCTACATTCATGTATACTGGATACACACAGACAAATAACAAAATAAAGAAGGAAAGGGGTTTGTTCATGTAAATCAGCTGCTTCACCAGTGTAACTGAATTCTATTTCTGCCTTGTCAGGTGGGGTGATGAAGTCATGTTCCTACAAGTCTTTCTGTACTCAGGCCAACAGCCAGGGCTACAGAGCGCCAGGTGTCAGAGTTCACTGCTGCTACGGGGATGACTGCAATGTGACCAGTTTTGCCAACAGGCTGCCAGGACTCAACTACCTGCTGCTGATTCTGCCTCTGTTGTTCCACTGCGTTTTGCACTAGACCTACTGCTCAACTTCACCATGCCAACAATATCCACCTGTAAGACAAATGCCAACTGGTGTTGTTCTTATTTACTCCAAAAATGCCAAATAACCCTGCCTAATTGTATGCGTTATGCTTAACTACCATTCCACTCTTCTTTGATATACCTCATGTATCCAAATAAAAGCCTATACATCAAGCGGTTACTATATATATAAGCTTGAGGTGCTAAGTGTGACTGCATGAATTATACCATGTTGGATTGACTCCAAGCAGTACTGAAGTAGATTTACCTTTCAATGGATTTTACTAAGCCATTATCTAAGGATTCTAAGGGAAGGGCTGTTATACGCATAGATAATTTATTATTAGCTTTATATATTGATAAAGGAAGAGATGCTGTTCATCAGTTAGCTCAACCTGGTTAAATGCTCTGTACACAATGTGTGAAATTACTGTGAAAGGATTTTACACAACATGCATTTACGCCTGAATATCTCAGAAGCAGATGTTCCAGTATCTAAACATGGCCCTTAAGAGTTCAATCATCTGGTATGTTGTTACATCATTAGCCTTCTATCTGACGAGCATGCCACAACTGTGCTGTGCGAGATATGTTGAGGGTGGTGAGAAAACACTTCTCACACACAGCAAATCAACGTAAGCCTTACACACCCACAGGCAAGGTGTGTTACACCATTGAGGTTAATCCACTACGTTTGAAGATACTTAAAGAATTACTGAGTATAAACAGTATCTGTGACTTCTCACTGGAAGATGGCCTATAATCTAAATAGCAGCTCTTGTATATATCGTGCAGAATATTAAATAAAAAAAGAATGATGTCCATTTTATGAAGAATACTGTTTATTGTGTATTTTTATTTTTGCAAATATTTCTAGAGAACTAACATTAGGAAATGTTCCAACTTCAAAAATCATTAAATATAAAGAACCTTAAGATACTGTGCATGTATTTTTGTTACTGCGTGTACACTTCAGTCTGTACAGTATGTCATCATTTCAGCCCTAAAAACAACACTGACATATAAAACAAATCATTTAAATATTTTACAGCTTTTAACTTTTTCCTTCAGTAGAAGCTGCAGTAGGCTATTAATCTTGTGCGGAGGTGGAAGAAGTACTCTTATCTTGTACTTGGGTAAAAGTTGAAGTACCAGAGTGTAGGAATACTCTTTTACAAGTAAAAGTCCGGCATTCAAAATGTTACTCAAGTAAAAGTACAAAAGTATTGTGGTGGGAATTTATTGATCAAATGTGGATAGAGAATCAAACCATTCAGCTGTCTTTGTCGTATTTTATTTCTTGCAAGAAAGTTCAGTCAGTTATGAGGGGTGGTACAGGCCGTAATTCATTCTGGTCCTCTCACGCACATACATTTCCTTTTACATACATATATTTTCACTCTTACACACACACATTCTCCTTTTACATACATACATTTTCACTCTTACACACATACATTCTCCTTTTACATACATACATTTTCACTCTCACACACGTATATATTTACACTCACACATTCATACATTTTGCTCTCATATTATCATATTTCAATGCACACATTCATATATTGTCACTCACACATTCATGCATTTTTTTTTCATATTCATATATTTTAATGCTCATATTTATATATTTTGCTCTCATGCACATTCATTCAATGTTTACATTTAATATTATAAATAATATATGCATGTATGAAGACAATATATGTATGCAAGAGAAGAATGTATGTATGTATGAAGACAATGTATGTATGCAAGAGAAGAATGTATGTATGTATGAAGACAATATATGTATGCAAGAGAAGAATGCGCAGAAACGTATATTATCTGTCCTGGGATTGTTACAGTGAATACAAATTATAATCCATAAAATATCTTAAAACTGATGAGATAGTAGTGTTTTGTGAGTTGTTTGTACATAGGTCTGTGATTCACTATAGGGTTTCAGGTGTTTTTTAAAATGTATTTAAAAACATTTTTGTTCTTAAAAATGGCCTGTCCCCAGCCAAATTGGAGCGAGGGGTTTACATTTTTTAATTAGCTAAAACCTTTTATTTAAAAAAAACAAAACGTAATTAATAACACTTTTAACTTGTTATCTTTTACCACAGTTCATTGAAAACATTGAATAATGCTTACATTTGACCAAAAAATTGTGTTTTACAACAGTCCCCATGATTTTGGTCAGTCCGGTCACACTTCATAAAATACTCCATAAAAAATTGTGCAATTGATTGATTGATTGAAAAGTTTATTAACAGCTTGTATATTGGGTACAGTACAGTACAGCTCAAAACATACAATTGTTAAGGGGATGCAGACCAGAGAAAGACTTTCGTCTTGTTTACATCAGGGTCCCCCATTTCCAATTCATCATGTCATTTAAGACATATAAGACATATTTGACATACAGATGGCTTATTTACAATTTACATACAGGTGGTTTTTTACATACAGATTGCTTATTTACAATTTTCATTTTAAATTTCGTTCTAATGCATCCTAACCGGACATTTAAAACATACCAAGTCTACAGATATACAGTTAGTAACAGAGTCTAAAATGCGAGTATATACATAGATGGGGGGGGGGGGGAAGCTGTCCATTGAACGACAGGTTGAGATTTGTACCATTACCGGGGCCAGTTTTGCAATGCTCTCCCCCGAAGGTGCTCTTTAAGAGAGGTTTTGAAGGTAAGTATAGTTTTACTTTCCTTTACAGTTGTGGGAAGAACGTTCCACCTTGATGTGGCATAATTGCGAAACGTGTATTCCCCCTTTTTTGTGCCAAATCTGGGTTTCACATGATTTGTGGAGCTCCCTCTGGTGTTATGATCATGGTATTCCTTGACCTTTGGGAAGAATTTTGACATGTACATGGGTACCAGAGGTGTAGTGGATCTTGTAGACCAGGCCCATTGCAAGTAGCTGTACTCTGTCGTCTACTCTAAGCCATCCTAGGTTGTCAAAGTGGGCAGAGGTGAGGTGGGTATTTTGCGATGTTTGAAGTTTTATTTTTAGCGCCTTGGAGGTGCTATGGTACCATGACGTGCAAGCATAGTCATAGTACCCTTGAATGAGTGCTCCTGCCAGAGTTTTCAGGGTGTTTTTGTTTACCAGAGAGGAGATCCGGTATAGGAATCTAGTTCTTTGATTGACTTTTTTTATTACATTGGATGCCATTTTGTCACAGGACAGGTTTGCCTCAAGAATAGATCCTAGGTATGTAATTTCCTTCTTACTTGTGACAATAATGTCGCCCACTGCAACTGAGAAGTCGTCGGATTTGCTGAGATTATGTTTCGAACCGAAGAGAATGGACTCTGTTTTACCCAGGTGTAATGATAATTTATTATCGGCGAGCCAGGTGCAGATTCTGCCGAGCTCGGAGCTGAGGGTTTTTTCAACCTGCAACCTGCTCCTGTCAGAGACCAGCAGGGCTGAGTCGTCCGCGAACAGGAACAAGTTGCAGTCACATGCTGATGACATGTCATTTACATAAATTAGGAACAGTAACGGACCTAATATGCTTCCTTGTGGAACACCACAGCTCACTGGGAGGGGGGGGGACAGAGTACCGTTTACCTCCACCATCTGTTCTCTCCCCTCCAGGTAGGATTGCATCCAGCTCACCGATAGTTTATCAAAACCAATTGCTTTTAGCTTGTCAATCAGAATGGGGTGATTGACAGTGTCGAAAGCCTTTTGTAGGTCCAGCATCACCATGCCGCAGTACTTGCCCTCGTCCACCTCTTGTTTGATGTGGTCGCTCAAATAAAGAAGGCATGTGTCAGTGGAGTGGGATGTTCTAAAGCCAGATTGAAATTCATAGATTAGTTTATTTTCCGCGAGGTACTTTTCGACCTGTTCATATACTATTTTTTCCATGACTTTCGAGATGGAGGTAAGTATAGAAACAGGGCGGTAGTTGCCTGGGTCCAATTTGCTGCCCTTTTTGTGCAGGGGGGTTACTCTTGCAATTTTGAAGTCTTTGGGTACTTTTCCCTGTTTTATGGAGAGGTTAATTATGTGAGCTATGACTGGTGAGATGGCGGTTGCTGTGTCTCTGAGGAATTTGGAGGGGATATTGTCGTGGCCAGTGGCCTTGTTAGGTTGGAGGGCGCTCAGTTTAATGAGTACCTCTGCTGTTGTTACCCTTGCTAGACTGAAATCATCTTTGCGTACCCCTAGGTTTTTGTAGTAGGTCATGATGTGATCTACTCCAAAAAGCCCTGAGTGGGAGGGTAATTTATTTACAAGAGTTGTGGCTATGTTTGTGAAAAAAAATTTCAAGTACTTGGCCACATCCAGTTTGTCTGTGATGAGCCTGTTATCTGTCTTTATGTTTAAGTTAGAAAATCTCGTTTTGAGTTTTTTACTGCAGCCAAGCTGGTTATTGAGTAATTTCCAAAGTTCACGGGGTTTATTTTTGTTTTCCTCAGTTTTGATATTGATGAAATTCTTTTTGGCAGTTTTGATCATGGAGCTTACGTCATTTCTTAGTCTGTTTCTTTCAATTTTGAGTTCAGTCACGTGGGCCTGGAGTTCACTGCTCCAATACACCTTTAAGAACATGATTGTGAAGGAGTTACATCATCTGACTGAGGAGGAGCTGAGGAGTGGGTAAATTCTGTCCTTGAATTTTAAGATTTTAATCTTGTTTTTACACCTTTGTTTTTACGTGGACAAGCTAAAGGATCAGGCGATGTCACGTTCAAATATCCCAGAAAATGATTATATCGTTGTACGGTGGCCGGCAGGTGCAAACGCGGAACAACGGCCAAAAATATGGGATTCGTTTTGTTTCATAAAGATAAAGCATCACTTTCTCAGAATCAAGCAAAATTAAGAGTTTAAGAGAAAAAAATACTGAGTCGAGCAAAATAAATTTTATTTCAAAAATAAAACTAGAAGTTGCAAACAAATCATTTGTGTAATCATGTAAACTATATGTATTTTTTCTTTGTTTTAACATATCTTTTTGTTTTCAGTTCTCTGCTTCTTTCTCAATGATCAGACTTTTGCTCTCGCTGCAGCTCTTCTCGTTTACACTCCCTCATTTTTAGTTTTCGATTCTGACACAAACGTCCCAGGTAGGCGGGACTTTCAGGGGTGCGTCCCCATTGGCTACTCAGTTTTTGAGTGACAGCCCAGTCCTCCAGCGATTGTACAGTGCAGCTGCGGTGCGGTAGCTGAGCATGGACAGAACAGCCCCAGAAGAACTAGCATTTCAATTATTATAATACTACAAGTGAAAATATATGTAAGTATTGATCATTTGTGTTGTTTGTGCTGTACTATACGGTCTGTTTCTTTATTGTGGTAAGTGAGAAGTAAAGAAAAGCTGTGCGTTGCTGTTATCACTTGCTCAGTGCCATTTCATTTGACCAAATCCCTTTACATATACATTTAATATATTTTATTATTATCCACCTTTTTGTTTTATGTCCTTTTATTTAAAACATTATTTGAGACTTCATCTTCTGGTTAAAATAAATGTAATGTAACTCTTTTGTCTTTATTCTACATGAAAATGTTAGAGATTCCATCCAAATCTGTTGATTATTCAGATCTTCCTCAGGCTAGGAAAAAAAAAAAATGTTTTTAATGCTAAATGTATATAATTTTCTCATAGGATATAGAATAATA